CAAACTGGTTTGGCTCAGTGGATAGAGCGTCGGCCTGCAGACTGAAGGGTCCCTGGTTTGATTCCTGTTAAGGGCATGTACCTTGGTTGTGGGCACATCCCCAGTGTGGAGTGTGCAGGAGGCAGCTGATCAATGTTTCTCTCTCATCGATGTTTCCAACTGTCTATCCCTCTCTCCCCTCTTCTCTATAAAAAATCAATAAAACATAATTTTTTAAAAAAGAAAGGTGTTTCCTCTGCAGCTCATGTGCAGAAAACCCCGTGTTGTGTCCACTGGGCTAGGGGCACATCCCCGCCACTGGGGGCGTGGGGAGGGGCGAACGCCCCCAAGGCGGGCAGCCAACCCTGCACATTGTAGGTGCTGGGTTGGGGGACGTGTGGAGACACTGGGCCTTGTGCACGGCTGCCACCAGGGGCACACCTCCCAGACAGGCAGCCCTGTGTTGTGGGCACCAGGCTGGGGGGCATCGACCTGGGCCACCACTTGGTGCCGGTGCATGCGCAAGCGGCCACGGGGCGGGAACATCCACTTGGCGCCTGCACCTGTAGGCCCGGGTTGGCGGGGGGCATTCTGGGACCCCGGCCGCTCAGGGCCTATGTGTGGGCCTACAGGCTAGGAGTGGCCTGGGTCCTGAGGATGCTCCGGGGACCCAGGCCGCTTGGTGCTTGTGCATGCAAATTAACCTGCCATCTTTGTCAGGTTAATTTGCATACACATGCCTGATTGGCTGGTGAGTGTAGCAGAGGGACGGTCAATTTACATGTTTCTCTTTTATTATATAGGATAGTGTGATGATGCCCATGGAGACATGGCACCCACACTTCTGAGTGTGGCTAGGTTATTGCCTATCTGCACGTGCCCTGGCTTTTGGTAGTGATCTCCGCCCTCCATTAGAGGAAATGAATTATGAACAACTCGGGGCTCTGAGAACAAGTCCCCACCTTCCTGCTGGGCCCCAGGAGCCATGGGGGCGAGGGGCTGTCAGCAGCTGGATGGTTTGCTCTGGGACCAGCGACACTTTCTGGAGCAAGTGTGCCTCCTCTCCCCTGCAGCCCTGGTGGACACGCCCAGGCACTGGTCCCGTGGGAACTCACCCCCTCGCCCGCGGGGGTCCCATCCTCCTCTCCTCCAATGGCTGCATCTCCTTCCCTGCGGGACCTGGTGGCGGAGAAACAGGCAAAGAGTCACCGGAGAGCCTGCCTCCCGGCGTTCTGTCTCCCAGCGTCCAGCCGCCCATGTGCTTGTCAATGACCAGGTTTGTCACCACCCCCAGCACCAGCGTGCGGGCACGTGGCCGGAGTGCCGCCAGAGTCTCCATGAATGAAGGATGAAAAACGCGATCATTGAAACAGGAAAGGAACCGCACGCGCAGGTTAGGCGAGAAAAGCTACCTCACAGATACCTGCGTCGGTGACAAAACTGGGGGATGCAAAGGGGCAATGGTGGAAAAGGGCGAGTCCCGCACACTCTGGGTTGGAGAGAGCGATGTCCGCCCCACAGGCTTTCTTAAAATGGTTTCGCTTTTTTCTAATTAAAAATGCAAGCGTGGCTCCGTGGGTGAGCTTGGACCCAGGAACCAGGAGGTCACGGTTCAGGGCACAGGCCAGGGCTGCGGGCTCCATCCCCAGTGTGGGGATCCCCAGTGTGGAGCGTGCAGGAGGCAGCTGATCCCTGATTCTCTCTCATCACTAATGTTTCTCTCTCTCTCTCTCTCTCCCTCTTCCTTCCTCTCTGAAACCAATTAAAATATATTTTTAAAAAATTTAAAAATAAAGGAAGCATAGCAGACGGGCCTGGTGGCACGATGGTTAGCAGACCACCGTCTGCCCGTGCTCAGGGCGTCTGCCCAGGGCTGCCCCACTGCGGGGAGAGTTGGCCAGTTGGTTGTAAGGTCCATTCCAATGTAGGCCAGGCACACACTACTGCCCAGCTCCTGTTGGAGGAATCCCGGGCCAGGGGCCACAGCAGGGGCAGCACCCGAAGACCATCCCCCACCTGCCCTCTCCCCCTCAGAGATGCCTGCGCCCCGCTCTGCCCCAGGGGCTCCCATAGTGGCTGCCATGGTTACTGCGGGGCGAGTGGGTCCGGTTTGGGGGAGCACCTGGAGCAGGGGACAGAGGGAGGCTGCGGGAGGAAGGAGAGGGGGTGCGCAGCGGTTGGAGCGCCCGCGGGCGGGATCGGCCC